GTCGCCGACTTTTTGTAACTTTAGAAAAGACACGCGGTGTGGAAAAAAAAATCACTCGTGTACTCTTCACTATTTCGTTTCTGTTGCTATTTTGTTGTATATCAATTGGCTATCATCTTTATCTTAATTAAAATTAAGATAAAGACTTTATCATGTGAATTGAATTAAAATAAATTTTTTTGCAAATCGGGCTGTGATTAATTGTAGCCCAAAAGGCCTGTAGTTCCAGGCTATTTCTTTCAAGTGTTAAGTTTGAGTTTGAGTTTGAGTTTATTGTTGGTACGTCATAGCCGTGCATTTGTCTAATGACGTAACTACCCCCCCCCCCTCCGGCCGTGAACCACACGATACGTTTATGTACACCAATGTTCTTGCTTCAAGGGTCAGTCTGTCGTACGTTAGCCATATGTATGTTGTTGTTGTCATAAAGTTAACTGCAGGGATGTCAAGCTTTTAAGATTTTGTGAAGATTCCTGTACATATGTTCAATTATACCCCCCCCCCACGCCTACCCAGCAAACACACACACACACACACACACAAACGATATGAAAGTTGTAAACCTGTTTTTTTTTCAACGAGAATACTAGTAGGCCACCAAAATTGGTCAACTCCAAGATTATATTATCCGAGTGGAGTTTCAGGTCAGAGGGTCCCCCATGCAAATACAATAGTCTACATGGTCAACTCCAAGACTTTATCATGTGAATTGAATTTCAGGACAGTGTCGCCCCAGCGGCTGGAAAGAGTAGAAATCGGCCAAATAGACAGCGAACATGCCAGGAGAGTTGGTCCAGTTTGCCGTTCGTCCGAAGCCTGGCAGAGGCTAGAGGTACAGTGTCATCGCTATTTAGATAAGATTTAGGAGGACAGTGTACCGTATGTTAGCCGTATGTTGACAGCAGGACTTCAAATCTTTGGTGGGATTTCTCCCACGCGAGTGTAGTTAGCCCGGGGCTACGGCACAATCTAAGAACACAGGAGGCACCGCAAGGTGTACAAAGGCGGGTAACAGCCGGTACAAGAACCGCCGACGTGCCGCCATTCAGCAGAACTAAGCACCGCGACGCGACTGAATCGATCTGGGATTTCTGCGCCAAGCTGTTGTCCCGATCCGCTAGCACAAATCAGATACTAGAGAAGAAAGGCCGCTACTTTCAGACCAGCCGTCAGATTTCATGTGACCATTAAAGGCTGGACAATAAGAAAACATGCTCAAGACTTGCTCCGCGAATCGTGAAGACGGAGAATAAAGGAGAAATCATGGAGTTTTTGTGTCCGGGATGAAATCTCGCACGCGAAGCCGTGCCTGTAAAAACACGACCAAACCGCCAGCCCACAATTGGGTCTAAATTATTAAGTTGTTGTTCTCATCCGCGGTGTTAGTTTTCTTTAACCCAAGTGTTGTTCCACGCCCCACTCGTTTCGTGCTTTCTAACAATGACGTGAAAAAACGGCCCCACTCTGATTTCTTCTCTTGCAATGTTCTTTTACAAAAGCCCTGCAGAAATCTGGCGACTGCCTAAATCGGCTTGAGCCAGATTCAATAGGTGGATAATAGAGGCCACAAAAGCCCGGAGTGTGTGTTATAGCTGGTCCGTTCCCAGGGTTCTGGGTACCAGTGCCAACAACTCGACTCAAAATGCAGTATATCAAAACTACCAATAAAGCGGGGCAGCGGGCGCCATAAAGGCCTTTCTACACGACGCCAACATTAGTGGTGATGTAACTGTGAGATAGCCCAAAGTTTGCTTCATTGTAAAACATTTTATAACTATTCACCACCTCTTGTACAAATGCAGTATATCAAACCTTTCAAAAAACAAGCCTGTGTGTTATATAGAGGCAGACCAGCAATATCTGGAACATGCGGACATCAGTGTGTGCAACTACTCAAATTTTATTTATTGTAACAGTTTTGTAGAGTCGACCTCAAAAAGTTGGTGACTTGGTTCTAAGTCTACTCTAGGTCGCATTTAAGACGATTCAGAACCAAAACGTACATCCATTCTTCTGTGGTGTGTTCTATGTTCAAATATGGGTCACTGTGCCATTCTGTTTTAAGGTACAGTAGAACAAGTTTAGTACATGTATGTGCTTAAAAGTTTGAGTTAGACTTTTCCCAAAGATAAAATAAATGCCATGACTGGACAAATAAAGACATCAAAGGAGCATATACGTATTTCCGTTTCCGATATCTGGTGCGATAGAGACAAACAAGTTTATGTGCAGCAAGGACATCAACGTTTCAAAGGCAGAGTCACAGATACGGCTATCACCTTACGGGCACAAATCTTAACCCCATATTCCGCACATGAGACACACATAATGGTGCTACACACAACTTTGAAAAAAGCAGTGCCGTCCCTTCCGCCGCCTCATGTTTACTCCGCGTATTATCCCGTTTTCAGTCGGGTTATTTTATCCCGATTTGGCGCCCGTTTCTTTGCGTTTAGCGGTGCAAAGGTTGCGGTGGAGCCGAGATAAGCACCGGGGGGCACCTGCTTCAGGAGCGGCGCTTCCCACAGACTCCCCGCCCGCAGCCAATCGCCCTCGTCCCGCGTGTTTGCCTTCGTGTTTACCCGCGCACAGTGATTGCGGGCACGGCCCGGACAAACACGCAGACTTTATCGGGTAGAATAAATGTAAATTTGGAAATCTATCTCTACTTAGCTCGGTTTGGTGGAAAAACTTGTCTCTGTGACGCGAAACGCAAGTGATATGCGGAGTATATACAGGTTCATTGTCCCTCATCATTTTAGATAAGTACAACGAACAGTAGACCAAGCGTTCTAAAAAACTGAAACCTTCACCAGTACAGTAGCATGCAAGTCGGGTGAGTGACCGATAGGATTCGAACTCGCGACCGTCAGGTCCAGAAACAGGACTACTGTCCACGGCAACGGATTTTGCAGGGCACATTCACGAGTAAGGTAAGAATGAAAACATTCTTAGCTTTCTCGTGAATGTGCCCTGCTTGCGATCTTACGACCAATGCAAGGCGTCTCTTTATGTGTCTTTTAATTGGGCTTTCTTTTCTGTACAGGTGCAGAGAGGGGGGAGAGAGAGACAGACAGACAGACAGAGATAGAGACAGAGAGAGACAGAGACAGAGAGAAAGAAAGAAAGAAAGAGAAAGAGAGGGAGAGAGAGAGAAAGAGAGAGGGAGACAGAGAGAAAGAAAGAGAGACAGAGAGAGAAATAGAGAGACAACAGACTCGCGTGTCCGGCACGCGCGGCTGCAAGTCTTGTGTAAACTTGACGCCCTGCCGTGTCCACACACAGCACAACACCGCACACACACCGGGCCGGCTAGCGGAACTTTGCCCCCCACACACCGCACAAAGCGTCCCGACAACAAACACGCCGCGAACACCTGTTGAGAGACAGGTGACGGACAGGTAAAAAGACAGGTGAGATGAGACCAGCACCCCAACTCTACTCCCCGCTCCAAAACACACACTCCAAAGTCCTTTGTACTGTACGCGTGGATCGGGATTTTTCTCTGGCGAGAGTAAACAGTGTGCACAATAGCAGCGGTAGTGCTGAGGGTGTACACGTCGCCATTATACACTCATTACATACTGGTGTTTATTAGCTCTTGTCGTGCCGCGCGACAAAAGATTACATGCCGGGGAAAGGGTGATTGATACACGGCTAGCCGGGCTCGTAAAGTCGGCAATTTCTTCTCTTAATTTGGAGTCGTTTCTTTACTTGCGTAGATTGCAGAAGTGACGGCGCTCCTGATTTCTTAAGTAGGGTTCCTGATTTTATTAGTCTATATCAAGGCGCGGCCACATTTTTGTTGTACGATTCTCTCGCTTTTATCGTCATAGTATTTCCAGCGGCCGAGCATCGACACCGTTCTACACAAAACCTTTTCCGTACCATGACAGATAAATTATACCCTCACCAGTTGTAAATTATATTTTCGACGACAATTCATATATAATTCATATGACCATGTTCTAATCTAGTACTTTCCAACAGAACGAAGTGTTAAGATTTTTTTTGAAAAGTAGTAAAATTCTTTTTCTTTTTTTCGTCCATACGTTTTGGTCTTATGTAATCCGCATTGTTATACAGACGCAGCTGAGCTGGCAGTGCGCATGCCTGGGATGACGTCACGGTTTAAAACACCTGTAACAGCTGGCCCGGTGTCCGGGGGAGGTTCAGTAGATATAAAGAGGGGTGTTATGGGGAGGGGGTGTTTTGGGACAATAGTAATATCTGGGTATGGCAGAGATGATAATGTTAAATAATAGGTATTAGATATCTCGAAGAGAAGCTGTGTTAACATATTCACTATACACAAACAGACGGTGCCACAATACCTATCTTGTTCACATCACCGTTTCGTAAATAATGTCAGCCTGGTACCAACTGTAAACTACGATCTAACCCGGTACTTTTGTATGATAACTCGAAGTGATATTGTGTACGCACTATACACATTGCCGTATACTCCATAAGTGATGATGTTTCACCACACACACAGAAGACAGCCTGACATCCCGTATATCTAACCATATGACACCTGCACCTGTAGTTTGACTATCTAGCCCCGTACCAGTACTTTCATAGTTTATATACGTACAGTCCATTTTTTGTACGTTGTATTGTACCATATCGCCCGTACGTTTGAACACACACACACCAAACGACAGTGAAAGATATCTACCTAATCACATGACACCTGTACATGTAGCTTGACGATTTGTTAGTTCCGTACATGTGCTTTAATAGATCATATACATGCATATATTCCATTGTTGGTACCTTATATTGTGCAATACTCCATGCATGTTTTCACCACACACACTAACCGACGTTGTGACGTTCTCTCCCCCTTTATCTAACCACATGACACCTGTAGCTCACCCCGTACCTGTCCGGACGCCCCGCCCCTGTGCTCCGCCCTTCCCCGGCAACATTAGCATAATCAGCACGGCACACTCTATAATCAGCCGGGCCGCTCCGGACCCGCTAGTTAACTCACACCCGCGGCCAGAACAGATTGAGGAGGGCAAACCCGCGCACGGAGAGACACGGTCTGATTGGAGTGATTTCAGTTTTTCTGTCTTGTAGTCTAGCCCAGTGGTTGTTCGTTTTTTTAATCCTCTGAGAAGACAAGATGCCGCGTTCCTTTCTTGTGAAGAAGAAGAAGGCCCACCCTGTGAACCGAAGGACCGGACAGGACAGAGTGGAAAACTTTTCCGTCCCGTTATGTGGTACGTGTTTCAATCTCTCTCTCTTTCTCTTAACCTCAAACCCTTGTTTTATTCCATTGTATAACATCTTAATTTTTCATGTTTGCTATCATTGTAGTGTTTTAGAAATCTTAGTACATTTATGTTACGTTAGAGAAGTTGGTGTGTATCTATAAGAAATGTTTCTCCGCGACAGGCATATTTTGGTTCCCTAGTTTTACCCCATCATCGTTGCGGCCAATTCCGTCCTTACGTTGTTGACTCTGGAGAGCCTGTTTTATATACTTTCCCATCGAGATCGCGACGTTTTTCCCGGTGATATTTAATCCTACTCGACACAGAAAATAAGCCTGACACTCAGCTACCGGCTGGTAGAGTATACATCCTACTCTCCAAGCAGAGGTTTGGGCTCCGGCTTATTTTTGACGCCTTGTTTGGCGTTTTTATGTAGCTTTCTTTTTTGTACCGGTATCTTTTGTTTCTCTAGCGAAACTACTACGGTGGCGTATTGGATAAAGCCTTACCAATTGGATACTGTCTTGCAGGCACCAAAAGATCTGCTTGGAGATTGTTATTAAACTCCGCAGCGGCTGCTACAGTGTGCATGTACGTCCCCCTGGCCTGACCCGCGTATGTTCGATCGATCCAGAACCGCTCTCGCTTTTAGCCGGCAAATTGCGGGTATTCCCAGGGCACTTGTTTGGGGCTGCGCCGCGCGACCGCCGTTGGCCATTCCCTAGCTCATCTTAGCTGCGCCACGGAGGTCTTCTACACAGCTTCTTCGCTGCCAGATTTTTCCTTAATTTGGGCTTAAAGACGTAAGAGGATTTGAGGCGTGAATTTCCGCTTTCTGGGTCAGGAAATCTTAAATCTGATAGAGATGAGAATGTCGTCGTATGTCGTCAAAATTGTGTGCTGCTTTTACTGCTGTGTGACTAGACAAGCACGTCGAAAGAGCATCTTGTATCTGTCGTCTCTACTTCTTAAGATGCATTTCAATCTGTTTAGCATGTCCTTCGGTCGTTTCACGAAATAAATCTCCACTTCGCCATGCTACCAGGCACGGGGCATATCAAGTGCTGGCCGGAGAAAAAAAATGCTGTCTTTAATATTATATTTCTTGTGTGGACATATATACTGTCTAATGTTTATGTTTAAGGTTCCGAACGCTGTTGTCTTGTATTGAGATGGTTTCAGTTTGTCGGTTGTGAACAAAGCTCACACAGAAGCCGGTCCGTACACCCCCGCAATGGTTCTGTCCACAGCTCCAATGTTTGCCCTCATTTCACAGCTGAAGCACCGCCACTCGTGGAGCCGAGCGTTCCGGACAGCCCCGACCAGCCGCCCAAACCGGCAGCGGAGGATCCCGTCGCCTGTCCTCGGGCAGAGACGCGAGACCGCCCGCCCATGGCCCAGCCGTGGTCCGGTGAAACCTCTGCCTTCGTCCCGCAGCTCTCACCAACTCGCCCTACAGGTAAGACGCGTGAAAACAGCCTCATTTAAAAAGAATAGCATAGCGGTAACGTCTAGTTCTGATTTCTTGGTGTTAGAACGCTATGGTTACGTATCCAAACATACCGTAATGTATATTCATTTCGGTGAATGCAGGTTTCGAGTGACTGTGGCATGACACGTGTCAACACGGCTTATACCCCCAGCGCCCACACACAGTAGCAAAGAGCAGCAAATTTGCACTCGCAAATAACGTTAACAGTTCCATTGAAAATTGAAATCTCGAGCTAATCTGGTGAATATGACGCCGGCCCGTGTGGGCTGTGATTTACAGGTATTGATTTTTAAGATCCGTGCTTAATTTTTTTTACAAAACATGGTGACGGCACACTCAAGTTTTAGACTTATATTCAAGCCGCGACCGACGCGTAAGACAATATGATGATACTTCTAATACATAGGACAAGCAAAGCACGAATTTAATTTACATAGTCATAAAATGAAGAAGTGATCGAATATTGTCAAAGACTAAAAGGACTGAAAAACCGTTTGGAATATGAGAAAAAGATTTGTACGTGGAGCAATAATCGATAAATATAATTTTTCTGTTTGATATTGCTATTCTGCTATATGTATTTACCATTTGTTATTCTGCCATTCTTTATGTTAGATATTACTTATATTTACGGTCTAGTTAATTTATTTTCCACGTTACCTTCACTTTATAATGGATCCGTGGCGTATGTCTTTATCAGTTCTTGAACTGTATTCTTTTTTCTTTCTTTTTGTGTTATGTATCCTTTTGTGAAATAGAAATTTAAAAAAAAAAGATTTCTAAAAAAATCTTCCTTTTTTTGGTTCCTTCTGGGTTTCAGCTGTGATGGAGAGCGTCCCCGGCAGTACCCTGGGCTGCGTACGGGACGTGAGCGCAGCCTGGCCGTACAGCTTCCCCAGGCTGTTCGGTGACGGGGACCTGGTCCGCCCGACGCCCTCCCCGTACCTGGACCGGTCCATCTTCCGGCAGGACTTCCCTCTCTCCGCCGCCCACCACCGCGGCCACACCGCCGCCTTGAACCTCGGCGACGTCAACAGGCAAAGCGCCTTTAAGAGGTACGTTGTGCAGATAGATGGTGATGGAAGCACACTAGCTATGGGTCTCATGTTGTGGCGTCGCGTTCAGCGTCTATTGTGGCGCGGCTTATCTTTGCACGGCAGTCTCTGGCACATTGATATTTTGTAGTTGTGGTTTCGTATAATCTTAGTCATTCTATCAACTTCAATAACTCATCTGACTATTCTAAACTACATCTTATTATCTTTCAATCTATTCCCTCCCCCCCCTCTCCCCTCTCTCTCTTATAAAACAAGTGTGTAACTTGTCCTTGTCTTACAGGTACGACCTGTTGAAGCTAGAGACCACCCTAGTCTCCCCACCCCCGGGCGGCTACCCGTCCCCCACCTCCCACTCGGAGTACGTGGACGGGCGGCTGGACGTGTCGGTCGGCGGGCGGGAGGAGGCCGAAGCCCCGGCGGCGGGGGAGAAGCAGAAGCGGCCGACGGTCCTGACGGGGTCGTTCTCATGCGTGAAGTGTAAGAAGGTGTTCAGCACGCCGCACGGCCTGGAGGTCCACGTCAGGAGGTCTCACTCCGGCAAGAGGCCGTTCGCATGCGAGGTAGGAAACGCTTTGTATTTGTTCTACGTTTCTAGACTATTTTTGTACTAAAAGGGCCAGTCACATATGTCGTAGGATTGCAAATTGAGAGTGTTCTCTGGATAGTTGTGCATGTGTCCACGTCACGAGGTCCCACTCGCCTGCGAGGTAGGAAACGCTTTCCCTTTAATTGTTCTATTTCTCAAGACCATTTGGCGAGGGCTCGTTATATATCGTGCGATCGTCGTACGATTGTAGAAGAACTTTATTGTACGACATTTGAAAACGGTACAATGGATGGCAACAACTGTTGAATATACGGTACAAAAAGAGGTATAGGATATACCTCAGACAAGAGGCCGTTCGCATGCTAGGTGTGAATTAAGCGTCTTCCCTCCTTTTGCAGACCATTTGGTAAGGGTCCAGGCACATATGTCGTGGAATCGTTGAGACCGTTCTGGGGATAGTTGTTCGCGTGTCGCGCTAAGTTCAGCTGTCTTGTTACAGAAAAGACTGTAGTTGGTTCTGTCACAACCTGATTGAAAGTGAAAATCCTACGAAATCAAAATCACATTATCAGTACGACGAATGTGTATATGTTCAAGTGGAACGCATCTAGTAAGAGACCATCGATTGTGGTCCTATTGCATTCTATAATATCACATGTACACATCAAGTTCACATGTTGCTTGAGGTAGAACAAAAATTACAGAAAGAAGCGTAGTCTTTCTCGTGGTTCACTGCTGCCAGTGACATGTACAGATTACAATGTGTGTCTACCAGCAGTTTTCCAGTGTGAATAATGATTTCCTAAATTTAGAACGACTAGTGTTTGATAGCAAACATGTTGTGCAGAGTGGTCGGATCTTTTGGCATGATAATGTTCTCTAAATGTACGAGTCTGGTATCTACATTTACAAGCGCTAATATATATAATGTTACGCACAAGTTCAACTTCTCGCTTTTAAAGGACGAAAGATGTACTGTCGAAACAGAAGTTTAGGTTTTGGCTTATTTTGAGTTCATATGACTTCATCATTTGTGTTTTATGAGTTCATATGAGACTTTATTTTTGTATTGGTATCTTGTTTGTCGCCTGCCAAACGTGTATTGGATATACTGCCCTGATAGTTTGATACTGTTTTGTAGCCACCAAAAGACAATATAATATGAATAATGGCAGCTGTACAAAGCGTCCCTAGATAACCTAATCCCTCAGTAAACAACAAACGCCATACCTGCACGCCCGCCGCCAGGCCTGGTCCCGAGACTAACGTTTACACGGCGGCATTCTGACGCACGTTGCGGCTCAGGTGAGTAAACACCTGGCCATACCTGTGCGCCGGACGCCGACGCCGACCTGTCCCTGGCCGCGGCGGCCTGCAGCTGACGACTTTCCCGCGAACTGCGATACGCCGAGCGCTGGCATGGCTCGGTTGTCGGTAAACAACTTGTGCAGGGAATACTTTTAGACTAGTTTCCACCGGTACCAGCCATGGGTTGCTGGAAAATAGTAAAACGTAGACAAATAGACTTTGCCTTGATACACTGGGATGGGCGCTGGGTTTTCGGTAAACAACTTGTGCAGGGAATACTTTTAGACTATAGCAGGAGGAAAGATTAAACTGGTACACAAGACTTAAGTTCTGTAAAACGTAGAACCTTTCAGACGCCATCCACCATCTTTCTTCAGCTACTGACTTTTAGACTAGTTTATCTACTTGTAGACATTCATATTGTGATAATGTTTAATAGAAATTAAGATTTCTTAACAGTTTATAATAACATATAAGATTGTAATGAATTTTACCGAGATATAGTGTTGGTCTTTAAGCAGTTCAACCATAACTCATGTGACATTGTTTAAACACCTCCTTAAACACGGGTCTTATTAGTTTTATTTAGTATTGCAGCGTTGAACATGTTGTTGTTGTTTTTTTGCGCCATGGACTACTTTAGTACAACTGTAACAACACACTGGATATCAGTAGCTATGTTTGGCGTATATTACCGTATTTGTATTTGGCGTATATTACCGTATGTACGGTACATCACGTTAACGCGACATGAAGTGCCCAGCGCGGCATGATAATGATCGTTGTTCGGCACGAAGAAAAGCCCCGCCCGCTGGTCCGACAGGTAGATTTGTCAGGACATTACAGCGGCTGGTTTCGTCGCACGTCTTTCCCCAAGGGACCGGCAGTCAAATGGGAGAGTTTGTCCACATAAAAACCTACATTGTCACGACATGTGAGATCGTGTAAAATTCTACAACCTACAGTAGGCAAGCGTCCATATCTCTAGCACAGTTTTACTTTTTGCATTGTGAAGCTATTGTGACACATGTACATGACACAGATATGACACAGATATAGCAAAGATATCTTTTTCTGGGTAGTTCGTAGCTTCCGTCTTTTGATGCATGATTCGTTGCCTGAAAATTTCTCGTTCATTTTTTCCCAATCCACTCACATTATTTATTCATCAGCCCGCCTATTTAGCTATTCATTAACAGATCCGTATCGCATGTTTCATTTCATTGAAAGCAGGGAAGGAATTTTGCACACATTATGTTGTTCACTGTCGAGCTGATAAGGAAATGTAACATGCATTTTTTGTACCTACATGATGATAAGAAGAAATGTACACCAACAATGTAAACAATAATGATAAAGGAAAGGATATAGGCATAAAATCATATAACATGAGCTATTTTTAGAAAAATGCTTTAGAAAGTATATGATAACACAAATCCATGTCAACATCAAAAGCGAAAGTAGAGAAGAGAGGAAAAAGTTTGATATCTCAAGAACGATTTCGAGACGAAAACCTACATCGATCGTTTCTTCATACGTGTTTGAGAAGACGCTTGGTTGCAACATGACTTAGACCCCCACCCCCACTCCCTCAATGCTGTTTTGGTACATTTCTCCGCTTGTAAAGTTGTTCCTTCATGAGTGTGACAAGACATCCGACCACGTCTTCTTGCTAGTCTTGTACATTTCTCCGTTTGCTCATCGTTCCTTAATGTTGTTCCTTTAGGTGTGCAACAAGACTGTTCTTGTAACAGCTGTTCTTTGAACTTTTATGCACGGTTCCTTAATGCTACCTCTCCGGGTATGCGACAAGACATTCGACCAGTCTTCTTGCTAGTCCTGTATACATGCAATGTAACGATTTCTTAATGTTGTTCCTTTGTTCCTTCAGGTGTGTGACAAGACGTTCGGGCACGCGGTGAGTCTGGACCAGCACCGGTCCGTCCACACCACAGAGCGCACCTTCCAGTGTAAGCAGTGCGGGAAGTGCTTCAAACGGTCCTCCACCCTGTCCACCCACCTGCTCATCCACTCAGACACACGGCCCTACCCCTGCCAGTACTGCGGCAAGAGGTTTCATCAGAAGTCAGACATGAAGAAACACACCTTCATACACACAGGTGAGCCGCTGTTATCTTATCATTCATTCGTTCATTCATTCATGCATTCATGCATTCATTCACTTACATTCATTCACTCACTCACTCACTCCCTCACTCACTCCCTCCCTCACTCACTCACTCACTCACTCACTCACTCACTCACTCACTCACCAAGTTACTCATTCATTCACTCACTCATTCATTTACCCAGTCGAATTCACTCACTCACCGTTATTCACTCTCTCTCTCACTCACTCACTCACTCACTCACTCACTCACTCACTCACTCACTCACTCACTCAATCAATCACTCAATCAATCACTCGCTCGCTCGCTCACTCACTCACTCACTCACTCACTCACTCACTCACTCACTCACTCACTCACTCACTCACTCATTCATACCGTTTCTTCTCTCTGTTCGTATATGCAGTAGTGCTTTTCCCCGTCAGTCTTTCCATGAGCACATTCCATTTTATTGTATCGCATTCCGCCCTTCCCAATATTTCCACTGGAAATGCGAAGATAAGCTCGTTTGAAAGCTGATATCAGGACAAAGTGTACACGCGGCGATCAGTTACCGAGTGGGTGTGAATCGGTGCCGTCCCTTTGTGTTCTCTCGGAGCGGTTGTCCCTGATAGCTTGTTTGTTGACTCTTGTCACTCAGCACGCGTTAGTACGGCACGGCGCACACGAACGGCACAGGTGACACACGCGCGGCGTTAAACACCTTTGTTTTACCTGGGTAAACAAATGAACTAGCGCCTCCTCTCCACTCGATCGCGAAGGCGTGCACTAAGCTACCATTGAGAGACCAGAATTGGGTTTTAGCGACGGTCTGTGGAAGGAAATACGCTTTGTAAATCTGAACATGCACAGATAACGGTACATATTTGCAAAAAAGGTTGATTTTTTTTCTGTTAAAACTATATAATAAAAGGACCAGAAGATGCAGTTCTTTTTACTGTAAATGACCACGGGTGACAGATCGGGTTCGAAAGAAGGTGGTGACACTGGGGACCACCGTGATGTTTTCCGCGTTTTTGGGAGGTGTAATACAAAATGGCAGCAGGTCGCCATAAATGTTCGCACCTGCTGACAGCATACCTGTCATACCTGCGCCGTGTTCTCTTGTGGCGGGGAAACAGACGCTCTGAGATCGTCACACTTGATAACCAGGTGTCCTTGGCGGGTCATCTTCACACGCCTTAAGGCGCACCTGCCGGGCACTGAGTCTGTTCTTGTTAAGGGTTAAGTATATAGATCTAAGAACTGCAACGGGGTACCTTAAACGCCTCTTAGACGTTGTTGCATGCCCAATATTTCCTTGTACCATTTGGTACAGATATGTACTAGCATTTTCTTTCCTTTTATTCCTTTCATGCTCAGATTTCCTATTTTTTCTTGCTATTTAAAATATTTTCTGTATTTCTTAGTTTTTGTAATCCTTGTCTTTTTTTATTTTGTTTTATATTCTTTTGCCTCCTATTTCTTTCGCACCTAGATAAGGTTCAAGGTTGCCCATACTCACACAGCGGGTCCAAGGACATTTATTTTACTCACTTGTCGACAAAACTACTTGAAGGTCGCTTCGTGTTTCTCTTCCCGATTGTCGTACGCGGTTTTGGACATGCTCGGCGTCCGTGAAGTACAAACATAAACAACAGGTGATCAGGTCTCCCCATGGCACGGTCTGTTAGCACGTGAAGGTAGTTTTCATCTTAAAGTGTCGATGCAAGGATTCAGCTCGTTTTCGGTGTTTTTGTGTTATTTTTTTCTAGTAGTAAATTTTTATTAGTTAGATTTCTCCTAGGCAGGAGGTGTAATGTCTAAACACGACTACCACGGGCGTATAACTGTCGAGATAACAGATATAGAACGAGCGTTAAGCAGAGGAAGAACCCCTGAAAAAGATCTGGATTCTTCTTTAAATCTGCAAGGTTAGTCTGTCCCGCTCCTCACGAGTTAGCCTCAGTGATTGAAGAAGCCCCGCGGTGAAAATTGGTCCAAATTGCCGGCGATTTGGGGGATGTTCTAGCTGTCCCAGTACAAGGTATTTAAACGTGACAGAGAATGAAATAGCAAGTTTGTAGCGCAGCTAGAAGATAGAAACAAGATCAAAGATTTCAGCATTCAACAAGGGAATTAATGGTGCAGGTGTATAGTTATTTACTGTATGTAGGTATCATTTTCGTCACACTTGTCCGTACGGTTGATATTTCAGACTGCTAGACGAGATGTGTAGAAATGTGTCGGAGTTGCGTGCGAAAGTTTCATCACGTTCTGACGCACGCGTGTTGGTCTCTGATGTATCGGCCGCCATTACATGCCGCGGAGGCGTCACCCTTCAGTTATATGGCACTGCTGCCATGGCAACCAACGTCAAGCCTCCGCCCAACATCTGCTTGGAGATGTCTCTCCTCTGTTCTTCTGTGATGAAGATAACTCGGATGAAGTGCAACTTCCAAGCAGATCTTTTGGTGGCTGTAAAGACAGTGTCAAATTGGTCAGGCAGTATCCATTTGCCCCCCGAAGCGTAAAAAAAGGTACAAGCATGTACAAAAAAGAAAGCATGAAGAAAACGATTAAAATACATCAGAACTAGACCTAAGCCTAAACCTCAGTTTGTAGAGTATGTTCTGGCTACACCACGGCTCGTTTCCCGTGATTTAAGGCCGTGATTAGGCCCAGTATGGCCCCATGACGTGTTATTACCCGCCCCGGTACTCACACGTAATTTGGCGCCCTGATTGGGGAGAACTGTTATTACGGGTGGTTAGGTCCTGCGGAGGGTACAGTTACACAGTAACTTACACTCATTCGTAAAAATGTTACAGATACAAGAGTTTGCAAATTACGTGAGGCACATCTTCTAGGGGCCTTGACTTATTGAAAGAAGCGTCGTAGAAAAGACCGTAAAAAATTTGACTTTCCCGACTTTGATTGTCAGCGATAAGCAATCTCTCCAACCAACTCAAAACTTCTAAGCAGAGGGTTGGGTTTGGGGTTATTTTGGGCGTGTTTTTAGGCTTTTTTATAGCGGGGGTTTCTCTTTTGCACTGAGTTGGGTCAGAAAAAAATTCCAGTGCAAAAGAGGAACCCCGATAAAAAAGCCTAAAAACATGCCAAAAATAACCCCAAACCCAAACCTCTGCTTGGAGAGTACTCAAAACTCCCAACCTCAGATTGGCTTGCTCACGACTTACTCCCAACCACAGTCTGGAGAAGGTCGGGAAGCCATGCTCAGCTATGTGTGACAGGCGTGTCAGGGGCAGTTACGTGACCCTTGCCCCCAACACTTAAACTCTGACTTCTCCTTAGATCCGCCGACCCAAAATCTCTGCTTATGCACCTATTTATATTCAAATGGCTCCATCCATCCTGACGGAGAGGCAAAATCAAAATCGGCGAAATTGTCTGCAATCTCCGGTTAGAACCGGCGGGTCTCCGGGGCGCCATTACGCGGGAAATGACGATCGGAAGGTCCGGAGTTACTCTTCAAGCAGAGGTTTCGGTTATTTCGGACGGGGATGCTTTGTTGTTGTTTTCCTCGCATGTGATCAGAGGAGCGAACTGGAGCTAGAATATAGACTGCTTCCAACCCAGCGACGACCTTCGTTGGGGAGTAGTTGAGAAGAAAATTAACAAAAGACACACAAAACGAGCTGACACAGTACATCTGTTTGGATATCAAATATCAAAATTAAATACATTGAAGATACTAGTACAATGCATCATCGTAAAGGGTCTACCCTAGTCTTTTCGATAAGTGTGCAGGGTTCTTTTATCTGCAGAGGTTTCCTCACTCTAGCTCCCTGCTTGGATGCACGTTTGATATCTCTAGACGTTTCCAGATAAAACAGCTCACCAAGTCACCCCTACTCTTCTCGATAAGTGTACTGGGTTCTTTTTACGCTCACAGCAAACCGACGTCATTCATCTTCTTGGAGATAACTCCCTTCCTGACCCCACGGTGAAAGTTAGACATTTCTGTGCATCTTTAATAAATAAACATTTTATATGTGGGTTAGCCATTACGTAGGTGTGTTGGGTTCTTTTACGAACAAAAAAGACACCATGCATCTGCTTGGAGATTACCCCTAGGCCCTGTAACTCCGGGGGATCCCTCCCTGACCCTGCGGCGCGAGTTTGATAGACGTTTCTGTGCATCGTTAACAGATAAACAGCTCATCCCTCTTTATCACGGGCCTTACTGCTCCCCGGCGGGCCAGCCGGTCCATCTCTCCCGCCACCGATCGATAACCCTCCGCACTTCCCGGAATCACCCTTCCGGGAGCCAAAAATCACTAAAATCCGAATCCTTCAATCGCCGGCAATAACGGGGGGAATCTATCACCCCGGCCACAATTTAATTACGGCCATAGCCGCGACATCTCCCATCAGAACCCGGCGATAACGGGCAGGCCTTTCGGCGCGGTTTATGTAGCGAGGCGTGTTGCTATCAGGAACAGACATTGACGGGCCCATTCCAGGCAATTAGCGGGATTGCTGCGGGATCTCTACAGGGCAGGAACGGCTGGGAACTTAACTTACGCGCCAAGTAGATGTAAGGCACTGGCTTGTCTCTGAGCGCTTTTTTCTTAGCCTGCTTAGATCTCCTTTCAACAAAACCACCATGCTCTCTCTTTCTCTTTCCTCCCTTGGTTTTGTTACATACACAAAACACACAAAAAAGTTCTCACTCTACACATCCAACGATCATACGAATTATTATTGTCAGACCTCAAATCTAATCATTTTTTGTGATCATGTTTCCGCGAAGGTTTGCTCAGTTCAGTTCAGTTCAGGTCATCCTCGTCATGCTGCGACCCTAAATGGACAACGCGTCCGGTTCAATATTGCGTCAGATCGAACTCGAACATTGGGTTCGAAAGAATTTGACCGAATTTGAATCACCGTGTTCTCTCTTTTTCTCTGTGCCTTTCTAGCTAGGTGGAAACAAAAAAAAGTCTGTCGTGTGGTCTACGGAAGTATATGGTACGGATAGAATTGTACTAAACTAAATGCACTGTTTGTTTGTGTCCTCCCTAGGTGAGAAGCCCCACAAGTGTCTGGTGTGCGGGAAGGCGTTCAGCCAGTCGTCCAACCTCATCACCCACACCCGGAAGCACACCGGCTTCAAGCCGTTCGCCTGCGACACGTGCGGCCGCGCCTTCCAGCGCAAGGTGGACCTGCGCAGACACAGGGAGACGCAGCACAACGTCGCGCCGCCGCCCACTGCGCATGCGCGACACGTCAGCCCCGCGGCGGAGATCCCCGTGCATGCGCAGTGATGGAGGAGTCTAGAAATCAACGTTGGGAACAGATGCTTAGGAGAAAGGGGATCTGTTGTATCCAGAACCTTGCTTGATCCAAAAGGATGCTCGGGCACGGTTCTGGATAGTCTACGTGTATCCAAAACCGTGTCTAGGGCAAATCTATATTCCTGTCTACACAGAGACTATCCAGAACCTTGCCTGATCCTAACCCTAGCCCATTCTAGGTAGGCACAGTTCGGGGTACGATATACCCCGTTGGTTAGTTTACGGGCTCAAGCAAAACAGATGGTTAGTTGTGAGCTCGGTACAGCCATTTTCAGGCCGGATAGTTTAACTGAAATGTGTTACGATATCGTTGAATCGCAAATGCAGCTACGACTGTAGGAATGGACTAATTTATTATCGCCCATGTATATGTAACTTGTATAAATTCAATCTCAATGTGTAATATGTTCGTTCAAAATTGCATCGCTTTTTTCATTGATATAGCAATGTTATGATTTCAGACAGAATACGATATAATTTGTTTGTGCTTATTTTATATGTGTAAACGTGCAATCTTTAAAAGTGTATTAGTCATATAAGCCACATTATTCAATTTGTTACACTGAAATTTGGTTAAGCTGCCTAAGAAAATATGTACGAATTTCTTTTATTTCTGGAGCAAATATATGTATGTTTTGTGCAAATGTGCCTGTAAATACAAAGTTTCGCTGATTTAGAACTGGCAAACAGCATATACGACGCGCTTTCTTACCAATGGTTCTTTTTTTTTATAAAAAAACTCCAGGTTGTTATTGAAGAACCACGTGTTCATATTAGAGAGCCTCTAGTATGTTATTAGAGTCCTCTAGAATGTTACATCTAAGTTGGTATGATGATAAATAAACTAGATAGATGTATGTTACTGTTTAAGAACTTTACGTTGCTAATATTAGAGAAAGTTGAGTTCTTATTTTAAGTTTAATAAATACCGATTACTACGGACTACATGTACATGTATGCTCTAAGCAAAACAACTAAAGATACAAACATGAAACACACTGTTTCAAACAAGGCAATCAAGTGCAATACGTAGTAATAGAACGTTTGGTGTAGACTTACTAGCTTCAAGTCTTTAAGACAATTATGAAATGTGTAATCATTTGTAGAGTTAGAACTTATTGTGTATGTAACATATATCTGCAATTTCATTACGTAATATATATACGTGCGATTTATTATGCAATAAAACTTCAAAAGTATAATGTCCATCTTTTATTCTTCACGTATTTGTGTTATATTTAGAGTTCAGAGAAAGCTTACAAGTGCATGACAAGTAACAAGACTAGTGTAAAGTGACTTCCGAAGGTACAATACCGGGACATGCTGCTAGGGATTTGAACCCAGAACCTTCAGATTCTAAGTCAACAGCCCTCAAAAGGAGTTTGGTGGAGACTATCCATTTACCGCCTGTATGCAACGTTCGCCCCACGACTCGGGGAGGCCAACATAAAGCCCCCTTGCCCCAACCGAATCTGCTTGGAGATTAGTAGTCTCCAAGCAGATCCCTTTCGGTGGCAAGACAGTATCCATTGGCCAGAGAAGGTCGCCAGCCACCGATGGGGATACCGACAAAAAAGGGCCATGTATAAAAAGCTAACGATCATTCCCCCACAACCTCTGCTTGGAGAGTTGGAGATGAGATCGATGCGGCCTGACACCAGATGAATCCCCGCAAAGTGCGCGGCTTTTAGGCCCGACGTGTCGCCTGCCAGCCCGACGATTGAAGCGAAAATATCGCCCGGCGCCGTCTCAGGAGAAATTAGACCCGTCCATTCATTAGAGGGTAGCGGGGCGGGGGTCAGCGCAGGGCGGGGCCCGGAACCGTCAGATTTACCGGCGGATCGAAATCTCGGCCGGCGGCTCGCAGGAGACGGTCCGCAGGGACAGACAAGTGCCCTAGTTCCTAAATGAAGAGCTTTATTGTCACACTGGGCTAAATACAGGTCAAAACGTGTACGAAGTTAATAAAAAATATGTACAGTGGCTATACAATATTAGTTTTCGTATGAAACGGACAATTGCCCTAGCTAGGTCCGAAGAGTTTTAGTCTTGAATAGTTTCATCAGGTTAGCAACTCTCTGATTAAAGAGACTCTTTTTTTACACCCCCAAGTGTAAAAAAATTCAGCCGATGTTTCAGTGACCGTCTGTAACCATCCTCAGAAGGACAATTCGATCTGACTGGTTCGTTCACATTGCGCAGCACAGGTGTCGCTGACTAAAACACTAAATCACAGAAAAGTACGCATAAAAAGCGTCCGTCTGAAATAGAGACGGTTTACTAGTACAATGTATTATAAGGTAGCATACTTTGTGAATTCATACTCAAGTGCAAGCACACAAATATGGAAGTAGAGGTAAAACAAGAAGTTGAATTTATTTCATATTTAAATAGCTAGCTAATACACATTGGTTCATCAACCTTATATACACGTTTGACTTGTAGTGACTTGTATGCAACCCATACCAGTGTCACTCTCAGTGTGAAAAAATGTGGAATAAAAGTCTTAATTCAATTAATAACGAACTTAAGTTGCTTTAGGTGCTGCTCTCCTTAAACATGGGAACTAAGACAAAAGACTCCAAGACAGATTGCCCCTGTATCTGCCCAGGTGGCGGACTTGGCTCTGGTCCCGACATCACCTTACACTACAGTAGATGAGAGTGCCGCCCACTCCTCCACTATGGGACAGCCAGGCCACTCCATCAAGCCGGACAGGACAGGGAAGGTGAGACGAAAAGTGGAGCAAAGCCGAGAAATGATGAAGAAAGCCTCTCCCCTGTTCATCAATTAAGCGGCGAAGTGGATGGAACCGGGGAAGGCAATTTTGGGGGCATGTCGGGGTGGCGTGCGCCGGGGACCACCTCCAATCTCATCCGCCCATTTACCGAGAGAAATCACAGGGTGGCACGGAAGATCGCATGCGGCGCGACAATTTCCTTATCGTCTTCTCTTAGGGGACGTCTTGGTCCGGTTTTAATTCTTACCTTTCGTAAGAAGTCACGCGTGGACACGGTAAGGAGCTATTGTCCGTCCCCGGCTGCGCCATTGTTCTGCTTCGCGGGCCGGTTTGTTCCTGATTTGATGGCGCGGAGTATTAATGGCTCTTAATTGACGAGATTTATCTGCCCGGAGCTAAGTGGGGGGAGAATTGATGGGAATCGATGGGGAGGTGTTTTAGAGAAGCGAAAATCAAATTTATAGATTTCATTTTGCTCATAATTCTTGCGCTGCGCGGACGGGAGGAGTGCGGGATCGAAGTTTGCAATATCGTAATGAAGAGCCCTGATATGAAATATAGATATCAGTAAACTCCGATTCATTAGGCAGAAAGGATTCATTCTGAGGGCCAGGATTGACCACATTAGGGGGTATCGGATTTCGCTCTTGTTTATCGGCGGATTTTTGACAGTTTTTCAATAAAAATATCCCGAGATTACTTTGTGTGATTTCCGACCAGCTCCGGACGGTCCGGCGGTTCAGAAGGTCGAGCACGTCGATAGCTCTCCGGCGGTCCGAGTTCATAAAGCGATTTGTAGAAAAGGTTTCGGACGTACGGGAAATGGAGGCACATGATTTACTAGACGCGCACTCACTCACTCACTCACTCACACGCACTGGCTGCTTCGGTAACACAAGAGTGCAGAAATGGACAAGAGTACTAGAGATGGCAGACTTCACCCCTTTTCATGCAGGTCAGAAACACACACATACACACAAACACACACATATATAAGCACACACACTTACACACAAAACTAATTTGCCCACAGCAAAGTTGTTTGATTCGTGTATTATATTTTTCACATTTTTTTCATTACTAATTGTTTATGCACATCTTTGAGCACAAACAATAGAATTTGTTTTTATGACTAGGCGTGCACTTGCCCAGCTTTTTAAAAGCTTTCTTCACATCAAAACAACTGATGCGACTTAAAGCTCAACTGTAGAGCTACATGTAGTCTATATGTTGAGCACCATTTTGCCCATGGCAGACTTGGTCTCTATGATGTCCTTGTGAGCCTGAGGAGCCTGATCCAGACTATACTCCTTCCCCACCACTGGATTCAGGGTGCCCTGAGTAAAGCCTGCGTACAAGGCTGCCATGGTCTCTCCTAGTTCCTTCTGTTGAGTCATAAAATCATAAAACAACAAATGTGAGATTTAATAAAATGTCTGCAAGGGACACAAACAAACACAGGTGGCATATTTACACATGCATTCACCAATTCCCATACTTTGATAGCGCAAAAATAGTTAGAAATGAAGAAAAAAAAAAGAAAAGCAGTCAATACTAAAGGGAAAGAAGCAAAGGCATATCCATATGGTACAGCATAACACCAATGATGGACGTTTCTTTAGTCATGGTTGCTCGTGCGTTGATGTTGGTTGGTCCCCTATTCCCTACAACCTGGGCATAACGGCAGACAGACACAAACTGTTTCCCATCACCACATGTACAGGAGCCAGGGCTCAATGGTGCGGATGTGTCAGGCCAAAAAGAAAATTATTCAGTTTCTTTCAGATTTGCTTTTGTCACATTGTCACATTGTTTAGTTAACCTTCAGCGGAGTAAGAAAACTCAAACAAAATTCAAAATCACCATTTTTTTCTCACAAGAAATAAATTTCCTTTGTTGGACATGAACCATCCACAACATTTGAGATGGCCCCCATCTGCCTGTGACCTTTGACTCACCTCTGTGTCCCTTCCGACACCGATTACCCAGCATTCCTTAGTCATAAACAGACGAGGGGTAATTTCTATCCGACCTCGAGAGCCGACAACCTATGGGACAGGCCGACACTTTACTAACATAAGAAACTTAAACTAAGAGCTTCAGTATTGAAGATTTGTATTCTACATGCATAAAGTAAAACACCAACTGATTGTAGAAAAAGGCAATCACATTTTGCTTCTCTATCTAATAATTACTTTCAAACAATGAGTATCGACATTTTATTTACAAGTGTATAACAATGTTACTTTGTATAATATTTACTTTGTTTAGAGACGTAAGCAGCAAAAACTATTTGATAATAATACAGTCACATAATTTCTAAACAGATACATTTCTTGATGAATGATTATGTGATGTAACTCACCCCCACCCTCCCATGCCTTGCCAGTAGCTCCAAGTCCTTCTCCAGGTTCACATTTGCCAACATCTCAATGATCAGGTCTACTCCAACTCCAGCTGTTGCAGCCTGAAGAACAGACAAACAAATAAACACAACAACATCTCCAGGATAAAGTCCACTTCTATCTTGGGGAGAACATAATTTAGCTTTGACCCAGTGTTGGCCTCTAAAGTGTTGACACTTCATAGAAGCCACTATCATGTGGTAACAAGCCTCACTGAGTCAGTCTACTGAGGAAGACCAGAGTGACTGTTCAAAAGCTCTAGGTGAGAAAACCTCTTTGTTTTGGATCTAAAGTTTTAACTACAAACACAGATGAACTTTCATGATAGTCTTTAGGCCACACCAATTTAATTTGTTGGTTCTCGGATTTTTCCAGAAAAAATATGAAGCGACAGGGCGAAAAAAAATAAAAATAAAAACAGGTCTAGGCATCCTATTATAGGCTTAAATGCTACGGAATGAGCCATGAAGTCAACACAAAAGGCTGGGTTAAAATTTAAACATTGAATTTTGAACTTTTAATCAAACCACTGCAATGATAGATGGGAAAACTGTAACAACTAGGAAGAAAAGGACTTTCCTCAACTGTTGGGGGCAAAACATGAGCATTTTTCAGT